CAACCCAGGTGCTGCTGTGAAGATTCGCGCCATCCCACTGTCCCGATGTTAGCCTCGCACTTCTTCGTGGACTATTGAACTTACTGTCCATGATGGCCGGCACAGATATATTGACCAGGCTTTCCGGGCAGCTCTCCGACGAACGGTACGCCATCCGCGCTCAACCCGATGATGCCGCTCCAACTATACTCAAAGCCTTCCCCTGGACCTGTGGGAACGTCTTTCCAACCTTCGAAATCTGATTCTGCAAACTTCCTGACGTGCTTTGTCACATTCTCCAGGTTCGCAATTCCATCATTGATGCAATTCCCTGGGTTCTTCTCAACCCATGCATCTAGTTCCTTTTGGCCTGGATTGGAGCCACCGAACATAATGTTGCCATCGGAAGACGAACGCGGGTTGATGCTGAATAATGCGCCATCCGGAAGCAGAACACCATAGGAGTTACTGATAGCCTTTGACCCGCTGAAGGCTTGCGGTGGAACTACTCTGTTGCACATATGCGGCTTGGGCGTGATGATACCGCGAAGTGATGGCTCGAGTGCTGCACTGTATGCATTCGTAGCATGCACAACGACGTCACATGCGATGTCTCCTCGCTCCGTATGGACCATCCATCTTCGAGATCCTGTCCCATCTGAGATTGACTTCGCAGTAGTGCGAGTTTGGAGATTGGCGCCCTTGCTGATATTGTCGCGCATGATATGTGCAGTCAACTTCCAAGGTTGCAGAGTCGATGCCTGCCATGCATAGCATGCTTTCGCATTCTTGATCCGAGACTTTTGCGCCGCTTCAATGGGATCGTGGGTAACTTGGATATGGTCGACCTTTCCACCTGCTTCCGCGTACCTATCGAATATTTCTTTGGCTATCTTCGCAACTTCGTCGTCAAGGGGAACGTCCAGGGTCTCTCCAACCCAGAGATCGCAATCCACGTTGTTCTCCTTGACGTATGCTACCAACGCTTCCCACGTAGCTTGCTCGTTGTCCAAGATCTTGATCGCCTGCTCATGGCCGTACGCTTTGGCGTGTTTCTCGTAACCTCGCCACTGATCAGGTTTGCAGTGGCCCGCGTTACGACCTGTTGCGCCGGAGCAGAACTCTCTTGCTTCGAGTACAACGAGTTTCTTCTCAGGAAACGTCTCGAGATGGTGCTTAGCAACGAGCGTACCTGTAAGACCAGATCCAATGATGACCGTATCGGCTTCATGTGGTAGCTCATCGGTAGTGCGGTGATCTAGGAGTGGATCGCATCGAACTTGCTGTAACCAATACGAAAGCGACTGTCCACCTTGTTTTGGGAATCCCGTACGGCCGTGACCTTGTGGTTGCGATGCATACTCTTCCACATTGAGGGCGGCTGATGTTTCTGGAAGAGTGACGCTGGGTGCACCACCCAATCTGGGGTCATCTGAGTCCACTTGCTTCATATTGAAGCGGCAGGTGTGTGTGTACAAGATGAGGCTTTCGGAAGGCTGAACACGTTAACAAAAGTCATGCTTCAAGCCTTGTTTCATAGTATCACGGCGAGTTCGCACATCTTTACACCACCCGCTTACTTACTCTTCGCTGCAGTTGACCGTCGTGGCTGCGTGTGAATCTGGCGTGGAGTATTGGGTGCACAGCCCGGGGATAAGCTGTCAGTCGCACCTTGCCCCACATGCTCGTCACTTGCTGCTGCTACATCATCAGACTGGCGGTATTCCAGCCACCTCGACAAACTCTCTGAATGCTTCCGCCCATCTTCTTCGTATGATCATTACTACACAGTCTGAAGCAGTCGCTAGTCTCTGCCTTCCAAATGTCGACACATTGCGACTCAAGAAGTAGCTGCGCACGAAGCCCATGTCATCCCACGAGTTGCCGCCTGAGTCGCTGCATCATACCCCTGACTAGTCGATGTCTCCTTCGTTTTCGGCAGGCGGGCGCCTTGTCTCTCTGAAGCTGGTCAGAAAACACTTCGTGAAGATGCCAGATACGCGTAGAGCAAGGAAATCGAGCCAGGCGTTGATGCCGACCGTCACATGATTTTGGTGTTCCTCTAACCAGGATTAATAACTTTCGCTAGCGCCAAAAGTGACCAAGATAGAGAACTAATTAACCAGGACAAATAACTTTTTGACCCGGATCAATAACTTTTTAACCCGGATCATTATACTCATTTCCCGGAGACGGTGACACGGCAAAAAATAAACACGCGTCCCCTACAGTCGCTCCGAGACAGCTCCCGCTTCTCATGTTGTTATCTCAACGTCTCTCCGCGCAACGCGCGTGTTTATCTTGGACATCTTGACGCGACGCGTAAATACTGCATCTTCAGAAACCACAATACATTACCATCACGTCCACGTCCTACGGAATCGAAAGCGGCATGGAAGCACCACGTAAACGCCAGCGCGTCGACACCGACCAATGTCCAATCGCGCAGCCAACGTTCGCCGACCTTATCGCCGAATATCACGCCAAAGCTGATCTCCAGTATTGCATCGAACTGCTGTTGCATGCAGACGACGATGGCGAGCTCACCAAGCAAATACTTCTCAAGGCAGCTCTAGCTACACCAGAGATCGCCGCAACCCTGCGCAATCACAAAGAGGAATACATTGAGCGAGAGCGTCACAAGGTCATCAGTTTCAGCAGTCACGTCGATAAAGTGATTTATTCAATCGAAGACCGTTACATGGATCTGAGCGGTTCCGAGCAATATGACGCCGCTTCCGACGTCATACGACAAATAGAAGAAGCGTTTACACTCATTGTCGAAGAAGCCACTCAAGAGTATGCTTCTCTCGGAACGAAAATAAACGCGCTTATAGCTCTGCGCTGCATCGCAGTGTCGATATGCGGAGGCCAAGAGGAGATCGGTAAACAAATCCGTAATCATTTCCAGAGTGATGACTCTTTGGAAAGCTCAATGGACGCCGTGATTGACGAGATGAGCGTGGAGGAATGCGAGAGGGTGTGTGCCCTAGAATATTCGGGTAGGCCGTTCCTAAAAGCAATGGAGCAACTCAAGGAGCTTGCCGACGATCATTGCGTTTTCGAGGGGCTCCAAGACGTGATCGCAAATCTTACTTGTGAGGATGAGACGGACGAGGACGGGGAAGGCGAAGGCGAAGAAGAAGAAGAGGCGTAAGAGGAAATGGGCAGCGAAGTCCTGCTGCAGCGCCCCTCAAACCGACGCGATGGACCGATGGATATTGGCCGAACACAAGAAGGAGACAGCGAGAAGAGGCTGATCTGCAATCCGAGTTTGGGCTGACTTCTTGTCATTGACCTCGGGATGTTAGGACTTCATATCGCCGACAGCTTCTAGTACCATTGCCTAGTATTTTTATCCCAAGTTGTGTACGCCGCTAGCATCTGCGCAGCCCCCAGCTGAGCACCACTTTCAATTCTTCGCGTTGCATGAGACTCTCAACTGCGTTTGGATTGACCCCTAAGCCGCCTAATGTGGACCCACTAGTGGGTGGGGCGGCCAATGAGAGGGCTCGTAATTGGGCTTCGAACGTCGATGTGAGTGAAGGCCATTGAGAGCTGCAAGAACTTTGACTTTTCCGGACGGAACAGAGATCACGATCCAGTACAAATGCTCCACTTATTAAAATGACCTTCTCTTTTTCGCGGTGGAACTTGCCGGATCGCGTAACCTCGCGACGCTGTCGCGACAATACGTTCACTTTTCCTCGCCTTTTCGCAAAACGCGTATTATATCACGTTCATAATCTATCTGCTCAACAAAATGATGGAGCCACCGCTCAAGCGACAGCGCGCTGAGAGCGACGTAAGTCCACCTATGATAGCCAAATCATCTACGCCCTCGAACCCGAATATACCGATTTACGACCTTTGGACGGCATTAAGTGCCCTCGACAAGTCACAAACAGATCATACTTTCAGCCAGACAATGCTCGTCAAACTAAATCTCCGCAACCCTTCAATCGGAGCCCAAATCCGACAAGAGTACCATTCTCACCTGCAACGGCAAAAAGAGATGCACGCAGAACGAGAACAGCGCAAAGACTTTTCATACTGTGTTGACGCGCTTAAAGAGGTTATACATCATGAAGAAGCAAAGGCAGCGCACCTACCAAGAAATCCAGAACAAATTGCAAACTGCTTCATCACAAAGATGCGCGAAATCTGGCGCCGAACATACGACTATTCGTCGTTTGAAACGAAGAAGTCGGCACTGGACACGCTTAGACGAATGGCATTTGCATGGCTTAATACACGGGACAAAGAATTGCAGAAGCGGCTTTCAGGGTGGATTACCGAGGACCAATCCGATGAGTACTGTCTCGGCATGCTTGCGATCCTCAGAGACATGTCGGGGCAAGAACGCAAAGAACTGGCCAATATGCCAGTGGACGGGGCGACGATGGCGACTACGGGGGAGATGCGCCGAGGGGGAAACCGGTTCATGGATAAGATGCAGGAGTTGAGGGAACGTCTTCATGAGACTTGGTTGATTTGTGGCATGCATTTGTATGGTTTTAGCGAGGAATTGTTTTGGTGGGGTCGTGGGAATGAGGAGGCGAGTGATGATGGAAGTGATGACGGGAGTGATGGCGAGGACGGTTCCGAGGATGAGTATGGTACGCCGCCTTATTGGGAGGACCCCACTGAGTAGGAGCATGGAGCATGGAGCACACATAGAGTGGCTATACGTGCGGAGATTATGCCATGGGGAAAGAAAGAGGCGTCAGCTAGCTAACGACGAAGGCGAAGTTACTAATAGTGTTTTATGGAACGGAACATGCGTAAAAGCGCGTTGTGAGATACCACGAACCCATCCTGAACGTTCAAACCCAACACTCTGAGTGAGATGCAAGGGTGCGAGCTGTAGGGATGTATGTATGTGTGTTCGGAGGACAGGACGAGAACGTCACGCACAAACATCCCTACAGCTCGCATCCCTGCATCTCACTAAGACTCCACTCGCCATGAAGCACTCACTCCCGCAGCCCGTTCTTCAAAAGTACTCTCCTACCCACACCCTAGATACCATCCTCATAATCCGCCTCCATGGCTAACTCCGGATCGAAATCAGAGCCATCCTCCTCAATGTCCTCCGGCCATATCTCCAGCGGCCGCACGAAAGGAGCGAAGTTGATCTCAAAGCCCGCATCGAGTAAATCCCGTTCTTTCAGCTCAAGGAACTTAGTATGAAACGTCCCTCTCCAACATCCAGTCTCATCTACTGTAACTCTGGCTCCATCTACTGCCATCCTGCACACCAGTTCGCGCTCTTCATAAGTCAAGGAGTGTACGATGTCTGCCATGCTGGGGGCGACTCTGCCCCCATCTTCGGTGTTGATATGATCTACGACCGCGGCCCGCAATTTCTTGTCTGGGATCTGGACTATCAAGACGAGCAGCTTCCTCAGCGCATCCAAAGCGTTTTTCTTGGTGCCGAAAGACGAGAATTCGTATGTTCGACCGCAAATTCTGCTCACACTGGTGAAAAACGTCGATTCGATTTTCGAGGAAACACTAGGGATCTCTGCCGGTGTTGTGGCACCGGCGCTTGTGCTAGGGATGGCATAGTCAAGCTTTTTGATGTCCTTTTGGAAGTCAACGACCATGTTCTTTTCCTTTTCCAAGTAGGCGTCGTAGGCTTCGTTGATTCTGGCTGCGACTGCGGGATCCTCGGCGGCTAGCTTGTGGAGGAGGCGGTGGCTGAAGGGCTTGAAATCGTTGTTGTCGGCAGATGCTGAATCAAGGGCCTCGATTCTTTTGAACATGTCGGGGGGAAATCTGGTGCCGAGTGCTGTAGCAGATGACTCTACAGTCGGGGGCGGATCTGCATTTGATGTGGTAGTAGGCAAATGTGAGGGTACGGTGTCGGCGCTGTCAGCACGCTGGCGCTTGAGAGGTGGTTCCATGCCGTTGAAGTTCTATCAAGGGATGCTATGTATCAAAGGATTCCGCAGTCTGCGCAGGGAAGTGGATAATAGACGACATTGTCGCGCGGAAAGAGCGAGACTTTACGCGTTGCGAGACGGTCCGAAATGACGTACCTAGGTAGTTTGGGCTTGGACGCGGCAAGGAGAACTATTGCTTTTTTTCGGAGTCTCTGCCGTATGGATCGTAAACCTTATCGAGAGATAAGGTGATTGTTCCATTGCTCCTCTTATGTATTGCAGGCCATGCCACGAACACGAATTCATGTAGCGCGGATACAGATTATGCCTTCCTCTTACGCGTCGATCGACGCACAGACCACATCCCTCAAATGTCGCTACTGCGATATGGCTACTTCCGCACGTAGCATCATCTTGCAACAAAGTAAGGTTATCAACAGTCTTTCATTCGAAAGAACTCAATGCGCAAACATCCGTCGTCACTTGAGCAAACCCCTAACAATCTCGCGTTGCGATGCATCATCCATCCCAAACACTTCAGTTACCTCCATTCTCGGTGCATGCAGTACATGTTCCACCCGCTGAAAAGCTCACTCCCCGCCTAATCCACGACGAGCAAGAATCCTCGACTTCTTCCTCTCCATCACCATCTTCGTCTTCATCAACACCCTCCTCTCTACCACCCCTTCGTTCTTATCTTCCCCCTTCTCCTCCAAACATCCACCAACATCATCAACAATAACAGAAGTGTCGGGCTCGTCAACCGCAACCTCTCCAATAACATCCTCAACGTTATCTTCGTCTTCCTCTCCGTCTCCATATTCATACTCCTCCCCATGATCCTCTCCCACCTCCCCATCCCCAAACTCATGGCCCTCTTTCATCATCCTCGACATGCCCGCCACATGATCAATAATCAAAGCAGCACGCACCCGTTCCTCCACAGACAACCAATTCGAACTGTTGAGTGCGCATCTGACTTCTTCAGCCGTCTGTTGCAGTTGCTTGAACACCGACGCTACCAATTTTTGACGTTTCCGACATGGATCGTCGTGATCGTTGATGCTGGAGGTGCTGCGGCGGCGCTTGAGGGGGCGGTGTTGCATGGCTGTGGAGGGATATGAATGGTTGGGTTATAGATGGAGATTGTTGAAGTTGATGGAGGGCGTGTATGCGCATTGGAAGGGGAACTCTTGACTTTGGGGTAGTGTGCATAGTGTATTACAAGTACATGCCATCACGTCCCTGTCTACCAGAGTTGTGATGGCATCCTCACTTTTGGTTGAACGGTCGACCCAAACTCATCTCGCACGTCGATATCCACACCAACAACAAACCAATCTCGATGATAATCCTTCATTTGATTACTCAAAATATCTAATAATGCTTCTTTGTATATGGGTTCGTCTCTATCGTGTATATAATGCATAATGGCGTCTAATATGCAGTGAAAAGGGTATCTGCGCCTCTCCCATGCTTTTGATAACGCCGTTGAAGTGCACTTTTTGCAGTGAAAAAAAAAGGAAGGATCCCACCCAGGTATGAAGAACGCTTGAATGGTGTTGAAACGGCAGAGTCGAGATGGATGGAAAATGATCGAGCGGAGTGGACCGAAAGACCGTTGTGGTGATGTTGGACGGAAAATTCGCAGCGCTTGCGAGTCGGATTGTCAACTCGGGATGTTGCGGATGGTTGTTCTTAGTCCTTATATCTTGGCCTGGCGAAGGATCCGGCTGTCCTGCTGCGCTTGTTGCAGCGCGAGAATCTCTCTTTGCTCCTGGAATACCTGACGCGCGCGCTCAAGCACCATCTCGAAGCCCTCCTTGCCCTTGGCAGCGTTCTGCTGGAAGCGCTCAACAGTGAACTGCTCAATGCTGTTCTTGATCTTCTGCCAGCCACCGCACAGCGCGGTGATCTCGGCGCGCTGGGTGAAGGCGGTCTTGTCGGGCGATGAGGCGACGGGGTGGTATATGCAGGTCTCGCGCACGTTGAGGAGGTCGGACCATGTCATGTTCATGGAGCAGAGGGTGAGCTTCTTGGCGACGGGGTCGACGTAGGAGGTCTCATAGACCATGGAGGTGTCCTGGCCGCCGAGTATAGTTTGTATCCATTTGGGCGTGGATTGCTGGCATGTGATGAGACGTTCGGTGCGGAGCTGCGGTGTGTTAGCTTTCTGCTCGGTGAGGCTGGTGGGGCGCGCCGAATTGACATGTGAAAGAAGGAGTCACTTACAATTCCTGTCGCTGGGTCGACGGAGCGGCTTAATGTGTCGACGGCGATGACATGGGGTGTCTTCTCGTTCCAGGGGCCGTATTTGCGCCAGTTGCTCGTCGAAACCTCCTCCCATGTGTAGTCGAAGTCGACTGTCTGCTGGAAGTACTTCATCGTGTGGTCGTGTGCGCTGTCGTGTGGGTCTGGTAATGTTCGTTGTCGCTTCGATGTGACGTGTTCGCAGTGGTTCGGACCCGAGAATCCGATAGTATGTATTGATGAGCTGTGATAGCTGTAGTGTGGAGTTGAGGTGGGTTGTGAAATGTGAAGGGTGCAAAAGGTTTGGAGACGGGTGGGCAAAGGCCGAAAAGCAGGCCGTGCGCTGGCGATAAACGATCGTCGGGGAAAGCGGGAAGTGCTCAACGCTTTTCACCGCTCGTGCCCTGTATCTTTGTTTCTTGTTTCTCCGCAAAGTCGTGCCGATTAAAGTGCGGTGTAAGGAGTTGGAGACAGATGCGTTGTCAAACAATCAAAAAGCAAGAAAGTCGCGATGTTCTGGTTCGTTGGTAAGAAAGCAATGTGAAACGAGTGTACGAGAGCCTTCTATCCGACCTCACGTCTTGCGGATCTACAAAATCTTCGCCACGGACAGCCGCCTTTCCACTTTTCCAGCCAATCACAGCCGAGGCGCTGACAGCCGCGGGTACGAGTCGTGTGCCATTCTCAGCGGCGTCTGGCCCAGTCATCCCGACTCTCCCCGTATGACGTCTCGACCCGAATTGGCCAGGTCTCGTTGGTGGACTTCTTCTAGACTTGACGCAGGGCGTGGAGTACCTGAAGCTTGCACTGAAGATCTAGCTGCGCATTTGGCTCGCGCACCAAGCTAAGAATCAGGGTCTTCCGGCTGTCGTGTGCGCAAGGCGGCTATTGGCTTGGGACAGTGATCCACGACGTGTGTAGTGGGATGGAGGTCCTCGGTTATGCGTGTCTACAGTGCCTTGACGATAGCATCACACATCAATGACGAATAGAATTCATGATGACTACTTCAATTTTCTATGTTTGTTGCGATGAAGAAGCATTGTGATAACCCCGATGCAAACGAGTGAAGGCCCTAAGGCTGCGATGGAGACAAATACAAATTCATCGCAAGAAGAGAGCAAGTTATTGTCGTCTTTCGACGGCTAATCATGTATTTTCATGATTCATCTAACCAAGTGTATCGTTGGTATCATAACTTTTGTATGAAAGCACCAGAACGCCAACCATGCATATGCAAAGTGTAAGCAACTTTCGTTGCTTCATGTGATACACTCAACTGAGTGTCCATGTCGTTCCATCGTAAACATCTACAACTCCAATGCCTTCTTCGCCATTGCGAGCGCACCGTCGAACGTCTTGTTTCCTCCGATGAAACCAGCGGCGTGCACAAAGACACAGCCTGGGATACCAGAGACCTGGTCGAGCTGCTCGTCACGCACACCCTTCCACGCATCGGGCAGGTCCTTGCGGTTCTCGAAGCCACCGTTCTCCTTGCTGACGGCACGGATGCGCCACTTGCCCTCGGGCTTGTCTTCGGGGAAGAGGACGTAGAGAACCTGAGGGGCAACGCCTTGTGGCTGTTGTGCCTCCTTCTCGAAGTTGTAGAGGTGGTCGGCCCACGGCATGCCTTCGGGAAGGACCAGGATGCGTCCCTGGGGGTCGTACTGGAGACGGGCGTCGTAGGCCTGCTTGACCTGGTGACGAGCGGGGAGCCACGAACGGGCGCGGTCGAGGAGTTCCCAGCGGAATTGTTCGCCTACAAAGCGAGATGCATTGGTGAAGCGGAAGTCCTCGTCAGCCTGCTTGGCCTCTGGGGTCTTGGTCTCGTCTGCAGTCGGCGACTTGTTGCCATAGTTGTAGCGGTTCACTACGCTGGCGATGCTGAAGCCGCGGTCCTCAAACTTCTTCTCCAATCCTGCCTTCTCCAGGTCCTTGGGTGCGAGGACGTTGATGCCGTTGTCGTTGGCGTCGAAGGCCTCAATGAAGTCGGTGTAGATCTTCTCGTACAGGAGATCACGGTCGGCGCCTTCCAGACCAGTCACAGCGGTGATGATGTCTTTTCCGTAGTGCATGTAGACAAGACCGGCGGAGGAGAGCTTCGTGGTGTGGCCGGGGAAGACGACCTCGAAGCCGCGCTGGTGGTGATCATAGCGCTTCTTGTCGTCCTCGTACTCGCCGCCTACGTCGACAACGGTGTGGCATTCGGCGAGAACGGCGGGGTCACGGGTGCGGATGAGCTGGGCGTCGCGGTAGGTGGGTAGCTCCTTCAGCATGGAGACGGCAAGGGCCTCGTCGGCGTGGAAGTGGCCATTGTGCGTGCCAATGACAGGCACGTCCGTCTTGAGCTTCTTGGTGGGGCTTTCGGCCATGGTGCGGGCGTAGTTTGCAGAGAAGTTGGCAAAGTAGTTTGGTGTAGGTGGCTTGTATGTGTTCCAGGCGATTCGCGAGGGTCTGGCTAACAAAGGTCGTAGTTTGAACATGCAATTGCTGCTAGTAGAAGTTTCGCATAAGAAGACGGTCCCGCGGCGGGCACTGGGCTTGGCAAGACCCGCGGGCGCTAGTAGGTGGGATACGCAAAAGCAAGCACGGCCAGCTCGTCACAGTCGGAGGCAGCAAGAGCAGGGCAGGAGGATTCAAGAC